CTCAGCTTCCTCAGCTTGCAGTGGCCTGGCAAATCTCAGCTTCATCAGCTTGTAGTGGCCTGGCAAATCTCAGCTTCCTCAGCTTGTAGTGGCCTGGCAAACCTCAGCTTCCTCAGCTTCCTCAGCTTGTAGTGGCCTGGCGAATCTCAGCTTCCTCAGCTTGTAGTGGCCTGGCAAATCTCAGCTTCCTCAGCTTGTAGTGGCCTGGCAAATCTCAGCTTCATCAGCTGATAGTGGCCTGGCAAATCTCAGCTTCCTCAGCTTGTAGTGGCCTGGCAAATCTCAGCTTGTAGTGGCCTGTCAAATCTCAGCTTCCTCAGCTTGCAGTGGCCTGACAAATCTCAGCTTCCTCAGCTTGCAGTGGCCTGGCAAATCTCAGCTTCATCAGCTGATAGTGGCCTGGCAAATCTCCGCTTCCTCAGCTTGTAGTGGCCTGGCAAATCTCAGCTTCCTCAGCTTGTAGTGGCCTGGCAAATCTCAGCTTTGTAGTGGCCTGGCAAATCTCAGCTTCCTCAGCTTGTAGTGGCCTGGCAAATCTCAGCTTCCTCAGCTTGTGGTGGCCTGGCAAATCTCAGCTTCCTCAGCCTGTAGTGGCCTGGCAAATCTCAGCTTCCTCAGCTTGTGGTGGCCTGGCAAATCTCAGCTTCCTCAGCCTGTAGTGGCCTGGCAAATCTCAGCTTCCTCAGCTTGTGGTGGTCTGGCAAATCTCAGCTTCCTCAGCTTGTAGTGGCCTGGCAAATCTCAGCTTCCTCAGCTAGCTTGTGGTGGCCTGGCAAATCTCAGCTTCCTCAGCTTGTGGTGGCCTGGCCTCAGCTTCCTCAGCCTGTAGTGGCAGCTTCCTCAATCTCAGCTTCCTCAGCTTGTGTGGCCTGGCAAATCTCAGCTTCCTCAGCTTGTGGTGGCCTGGCAAATCTCAGCTTCCTCAGCCTGTAGTGGCCTGGCAAATCTCAGCTTCCTCAGCTTGTGGTGGCAAATCTGGCAAATCTCAGCTTCCTCAGCCTGTAGTGGCCTGGCAAATCTCAGCTTCCTCAGCTTTGTGGTGGCCTGGCAAATCTCAGCTTCCTCAGCTTGTGGTGGCCTGGCAAATCTCAGCTTCCTCAGCCAAATCTCAGCTGGCCTTGGCAAATCTCAGCTTCCTCAGCCTGTAGTGGCCTGGCAAATCTCAGCTTCCTCAGCCTGTAGTGGCCTGGCAAATCTCAGCTTCCTCAGCTTGTGGTGGCCTGGCAAATCTCAGCTTCGCCCTGGCAAATCTCAGCTTCCTCAGCTTGTGGTGGCCTGGCAAATCTCAGCTTCCTCAGCCTGTAGTGGCCTGGCAAATCTCAGCTTCCTCAGCTTGTGGTGGCCTGGCAAATCTCAGCTTCCTCAGCCTGTAGTGGCCTGGCAAATCTCAGCTTCCTCAGCTTGTAGTGGCCTAGCAAATCTCAGCTTCGTCAGCCTGTAGTGGCCTGGCAAATCTCAGCTTCCTCAGCCTGTAGTGGCCTGGCAAATCTCAGCTTCCTCAGCTTGTGGTGGCCTGGCAAATCTCAGCTTCCTCAGCCTGTAGTGGCCTGGCAAATCTCAGCTTCCTCATGGCCTGGCAAATCTCAGCTTCCTCAGCCTGTAGTGGCCTGGCAAATCTCAGCTTCCTCAGCTTGTGGTGGCCTGGCAAATCTCAGCTTCCTCAGCTTGTGGTGGCCTGGCAAATCTCAGCTTCCTCAGCCTGTAGTGGCCTGGCAAATCTCAGCTTCCTCAGCTTGTGGTGGCCTGGCAAAGCATCAGTTTTTGTCCATGGACTGCCCCCGAGATCCGGCACCTTAGCTCCCAAGCCCAAGTCTCCCCTGAAGCAGGAAGTCGCTCGACAAGCGCATTGCCTGCCTGGCTGGTGTTCCAGAGCTGATGTGCAGCCATTTGTCAACTTCATGGTTTTCGAGGATGGCAGAGCCTTGCAGTCTTTGCATTTTGTGTCCTTTGACCCTTCAAGTCGGGATCCTCCCCAACAGCCTAAGCTCCAAGAGAAGCGATGGTGGAACGATTGTTGGCAGCTCTTCTGATGTAGGGCTTTAGCACCGGACTTGTGCACCGGACTGGTCGTGCACGTAGGGTATTTGAGAGGCTTGTCGGGTGCCCTCAAGCAGTTTGAAGTTTACCCCACGTGATCTTGCTCTGGGTTAGATGTTTATTTGTCGGCACCTGGGACAGTGCAGGTCAGGTGTAAGAAGTGGGAGCCGACAGATGCTGAAGCTCTCAACTTGGGTGCTAAGCAAGTTTACGTGCCATTTGGTCAGATGGCGTTCTTCCTGAAAACCCCGGAAGATGCAAAGCCAGCCCCCGCCCCCCCCCGAAGCCGCTGTGCGGGCATCCGAGACTTGACGACCTACAGTGCCTAACGAAGGCTCACCAAGCCCGAATCTCTTGAGAGAATTCTTTGACCCGAAGAGTCGAAGTCCCAGCTATGGCCCTTCAATCCCTCGCTTTCGAGATATCTACGACAATCTACGATCTAGTGCAGCCTCAGAGCCAGACACCCCTAAGGCTTTTGACTGAGTCCATCTCGCTGAAGGCGGCTTTTGCTCGTCTTAGGGACTTATGCGTGGGTGTGCGTGTGCCTGTCGTGCGTGTGCATCTGCGTGTGCGTGTGGATCGCTCGCATTTGTCGCCGATCTCCCTCGCAATGCAGGTTCAAACTGCGTTGCTGGTCATGGCAATATGTCAATATGCATTGCAACGCATTTCAACATTTCCATCTTCTAAGAGTCTCTTGAAATCACCGGCGTTCTTTCATGGCGACGGTTGTGGTTCGCGCGATTGCTGGCGATGTGGTGTTGGGGCCGCTATACTTCGAAGCGCCGCCCTGCGTTTCCGACATAAAGAGCCGCTTGCAAGAGTGCTTGGAACTGCTACCAGGGCAGGAAGTGCTTCTGCTACAAGAGAGCGCCATTCTGTCTGACACCACGAAGTTGCGGGGTGGTTCAGCAGAGGATCCCGTGGCACTAAACATGGTAACGTCGAAGCAAAGTCTGCAGGCACTTGTTTGGGGCCTCAGTACCAACGGACCACAATGGCCCAAAGTGAGTGAGCAGCTGGAGCGAGGCATCGTGGCAGTGTCTTCTACCCGCTCAGCCTTTGCTGCTTTGACAGAGTCCGGCTCTGTGATCACCTGGGGCGAAGGCGAGGAGGAGGATGGGGGTGACTCTGACGGGGTTCTTGGCCTTGACCAGGGTGTCCTTCAGGTGCTGGGCAACAAAAAGGCTTTCGTTGCTCGGAAAACAGGCGGCGAGCTTGTAGTTTGGGGAGATGCGAACGCTGGCGGCAAGCCCAATGCAGAGATAAGGGCTCAGCTCCGTGATGGAGTTGTGGCCATGGCGCGGACTATGCAAGCCTTCGCTGCCGTGAAAGAGAATGGAGAGGTAGTCGTTTGGGGGAATCCAGAATTTGGAGGTGACAGCAGCTCTGCTGGAAGCTTACGGGGCGTTGTCTCCGTAGTTGGGACTTGGGGGGAGACTTCTGGGGCCTTTGCAGCCTTGACTGACACAGGTGGAGTGGTCACCTGGGGAGATGCTGGGTGCGGTGGTGATCTGGGCTCCAAGTCAGAGCAGGTGGCAAAAGATGTGAAAAGCATTTGTGCCAGTGGCTGTTCCTTCGCTGCTTTGAAGACAACTGGTGAAGTTGTGTGCTGGGGAGATCCAGAGCGAGGTGGGGAGCCGGCCGTGGTCTTTTCCCATGAAGATTCCGGGATGGCTCAGTACTCAGTCAAAGAAAAGCTATCTCGGGGTGTGGTTTCCATCGTCGCTTCCGATGACGTCTTCATGGCTCTCAAAGAAAGCGGTGAGGTTCGTGAAGTTGTGGGCTGGGGCATGGGAGAGGACGGCGCGCACCTCGACGAAAACCTTGTGAAAGAACTGGGGAACGACGTGGTGTCCATCGCGGCCAACGTGGCGGCCTTCGCTGCGTTGAAGGCGGGCGGCCGTGTTGTGACATGGGGTCCCTACACGGAGAAGGGCCTGACCCAGCTGGAAAGTGGAGTTGTGAATATCCCGAGTTTTTCATGGCCAAGCATGCTGTCCTTTGCCGCTTTGAAGGATAATGGCTCTCTTGTCGTTTGGAGCGGCGTGCCGACTTCCCTTATTGAGGACACGCCGCATGAGGAGTTAGAAAGTGGCGTCGTAGATGTTGTGGGCAACCCCGGCAGCTACGTGGCATTGAAGTATGCAGCTGCACCGACCTCTGACGCTTAGAGCCTGTTGAGACAAGCCCCAGCCGGTCGCAACCGGCGGCCTGTTGAACAGACTTGCGGGCACTCAAGTGAACTTCAACATAGAACCCCAATGTGTGTTGTTAAGACAAGGACAACAACGATTGACAGTAGCAGCATACTTCTCACCTCTCGCCCGCCGGAGCCGGGGGAGGGGGGGGGGGGGGGGCGCAGCCGCACTCTGCCGTGCCGGGGCTGTCTCTTTTTGCAGCCTGTATCATCGCCAAAGTTGCCTGCACGAGTGTGGCAAGCAGGCATTGTCTTCGGTGTTTGTTGTCATCATTTTTGCCTGAGCAGCGTATCCTGCGATCATTTCTTGAGGGGGTCGCAACTGGAGATCATCTCATGTACTACTTCTTCAATAGCCTCCCAAGCACCCGGGCCCCAGATGCTTTGACAAAGCCGGGAGATGTTCACTCTAGCAAGAGAACGGGTGCGTTACTAAGGGCACCTGCGCTGAAGCTGCACTGAAGCAGTCTTGAGAGCCAGGTCAATGTGGGGTCGCCAGCTTGAGACCTTGCTTCGCCAGGCTCGGAAGTGGAGGGAACATGACAGCAGAGCTGCGTGGCACTATATGTATATGTTCTTGCATAGCGTCATACCTAACACGTACCTACTTGTACCTATCTATGTGCACTTTTTGCCTTCCTTCCCACATACATACATGTGCCCGTTTTGTCCTTAGGCTCTGAACATTTTTGGTTTCAGATCGACAGCCACAGCAATTGAATCATGTTGCTTGCTGGCTATCGCGCCGCTTGATAATTCAATGGCGACGGACGTGGGCCTGTGCCGCTTGGAGTTGCAGCCTGGGCAAGCTTCGCAAGTGGTGGGGAGTCAGTTGCCTACTTTTGGTTCCGCGGTGTTCTGGAAAGATTATCTTGTTTTTGTCACGCTGTTCGTGGGTCTGAATTTGGCAGTGCGGCTAAACGAAAGAGTCAAATTTGAGCCGTGGCAATTCCTTGCACGCCTTGCGCTTGGGAGCGTGTCTTTCACCCGGCGTAAGACCGTGAAGGATGCAGAGCCTGCACAGATCGCGCGCATTCCAAAAGAGAGCCTCGTGACCGGCTGCGCCGGAAACGCTTGCCTGTTCCGGGCGGCCAAGACAATCCCAGCGCTGCTCAAAGAGCAAGCAGCGCGGATTCCAGATGCAACATTTCTAGAAATTTGGGCGCCTGGGAGAGGGATCATCCGAAACTTAAGTTTTCGCCAATTTGCCAGTGCTGTCCAGAAAGCAACTGGATGGTTGAAGGCAAAGGGCCTGATGGATCAGGAGCATATTGGGATCCTTTCGCAGGACACATTGGACTACAAAGTCCTACTACTTGCATGTATGCAGCTCGGAGCCGTACCCGTTCTGCTTAGCTGGAGGCAACCCCTGGCCATTCAAGAAGCCATGTTGTCTGCGGCTAAGTGCACGAAGCTCTTGGCCTCGTGCCATTACGAGGCAGCTGCCAAAGAGCTAGTCAAGCAGGTCGATGTCCAGCTTCTCCTGATGGAAGGCATGACTTGCGAGGAGTGGGAGGGGTGCGAGGAGAGTGAGGAGCCCAGCGAGGAGACCAACGGATACGATGGTGTGGCAGTTGTCCTTTTCACGTCAGGTAGCACGTCCATGCCGAAGGCCGTCCCACACCGCCACAGCAGCCTGCTGTGGAACTGCCGGAACATTTTTCGCGAGAAGTCCGAGGCTGCGCTGCTTCCGAACGCTGGGACAGTTTGTTTCCTGCCGAACTTCCACGCCATCGGCTTGACCGTGAACTTCATCTTTAACCTCTATGCAGGGATCCGCTGTGCAGTCTTGGAAGCGCCGGAATCGAGTCCGGTGACCGTGGACTTGCTACTGGGAGCTTGTAAAGATCTTCGGCCCACAGTCCTGAGCACGGTCCCGTGGGTGATTGAGGCGATCTGCAAAGAGCTGGAAAGAGGTGAACAAGCAGATTCTTATGCGGCTATTTGTGGGCGTTTGCATCACATTGCCTTTGCAGGTGCACAGTTACCTGCAGGCTGCTCCGAGACTTGCAGGGCGCATGGGATCAGACTACAGGTGGATTACGGGCAAACAGAGTTGGGCGGGCCTCTTCTCTTTGGCCGCTTAGGCGCCAGGGCGGACTTGCTGCAACCAGTGGCAGGTGCGACCTACTCCTTCCGTTCTTTGCTCAGCTCGTCGGAGGAGCCACGCCGTGGTGAGCTGGTGCTTCACGGCGCGCAATCGGCGGCACAGGCGTACCTCAGAGGTAGCCAGGGCCGCCCATTGACGAGTCCAGGGCAGCTGACAGCGGAGGAGTATTGGACAGGGGACATCTTCGAAGAAGTTGAGCACCTTAGTTGCACATGCACAGATTGTTGTAGCCCGTAAGACGACACTTCTCCATTTGCAGGTTCAGCAGCAGCAAATCCTAGAACCCGATGCAGGCATGCATCCCGAGCCCAACCCCCGGCCCTTCATGCTGAGCACAACACAGCCTTGAAGTCCTTCGGAGTTGGCAGCCGCGGTACTACATTTTAGAGGTTTTCTCAAATATTCGCTTTCCCTGGAATGCGTATCAGAAGGCTTCTCGTCTGAGGGTTCGGAATCTGCAGGTTTGGTGACCTGATGCGGTCAACTTTGATCAACATGTTCAAGTCCTTTCCCAAAGCGCTTCAACTCATGCGTTAGCAAGCCCTACCAACATCAAATTTTCTTCAAGTTGCACAGTTCCCTCGCAGTCTTTTTCAAATCCCTGCTGGCAGCTGCTGGCAATGTCTAAGCTCGCACACCCCACTTCGACTCCCCGAACCCCCATGCAAGTGTCTGAGCTCGCTCTCGAATTCGATCAACTCCCATCCACAAGAGAAGGGCTTCTATACCAGGCAAGAAGACTAAATGAAGGAAGGAATGACACAATGAGATACGGGACAACATGGATAACGACAACACGAAGCCAAGAGAAAGCGCGAGCTCAACTATAAGCAACCATGCAAGATAACTACGATGGACAGAGCATAAACAGGGAATGAGTAACGGGACAAGGCCACGGATCAACACTGAACACATAGTAATGAACAAGTTGGTCATGCGCCCCAGATCAATGAAGACATAGAGTCCAAAATCATGTGACAACGATGTTTGTTGCTTGGAAAAAGATGAACTGGGAAGGCGGGTAGAGGGAGAGGGGTGCTCCCCAATACAGGCCCCCCACGTCCTCCCCTGGCCCAATGAGTAAGAGCATGATTTGGGGGTGTGTTTCAGGGGATAAGTGCTCGCAATTTCGTAGGCTCCTGTTCCGCGCTCAAAGGTGGGACGGCTCTACATGGCTTCGTCATTTCTCTCGCAACGATGACCTGCTTGTCCACACGAGTGGAGAGATGACGAACCCACTCCCCATGGAGAAGGCATTTTGAACCCCTAAGCTCACCCCGAAGGTCTAGATTCATCCTCAAGCTGCGTCGGAGTTCAACGAATTCAACAGCCTGCGCCGCTGAACTTCCATCCCTGAAGGTGCTGGGTCGCCTCGGGCTCCGGGCCTGTGTGGTGGGCGACCGTTTTCCACGGCCGCTTCTGGTCATTGAAGCGGAGCGAACCAAGGCAGGGAGGAAGAAGGTTGGAGTTGGAGGCTTGGGGAGGTGGCGTAGGCGGCTTCGCAAGGTGATCTTCCCAAAGCCCAATCAGCCAATCTTCAATGGCAATCCCGAGCCTCAATGCCCAAAAATCCGTGCACACAGAGCCTCTGCAGAACATCTCCTTGGCCCTTGGCCGCGACATGCCTTTCTTCAGCCGCAAAAATTTAAAACCGGGAAGCTGAGCAGGATAAGAGCGCCTCCGAACTTTGGGCCGCCATCGAGGAGTGCAAAGATGAATATGAGTCTGAGTAGAGCTTGAAAGAACTCGGAAGTAACGAAGAGCAGAACCACACAGTCCTCTTTCACAAATATGACCTTGATATATGTTTCACTGGTTTGAGAGATTGATGCCGCTCCCACCAACCCTCATGGGACGGTTGGTGCGGTGACTGCATGACCCATCGTATGTCCATGCTCCTCATGCTCCATTGCATGTCTAGCATCTGTACAAAGACGGGCTCGCTGCCTCAGCGGAATTCGGCTGATATGAGTTCATTGCTCGCTTAGAGTAGTCCTCTGCTAACCCTAGATGCCAGATCTCTTCGCTGATGTGCAATTCTCTACATGATGGTCTCTCTTGCGCCCCATTATAATGTAGCACCCTGAGAATCAGGACCCCGAAAAGGGACTCCAATGTTTGGAAACTACCAAATAATGATGATCATCATTAATCTTAATAGTACAGGAAAACCGACATGTTTATCAGACTAACAATTACTGTATCGTCTCTTTCACTTACACAATACAGATGTTGCAGGAGTGCAACGCCTTGCAGCCCGAATGGTCCCGAGTCCTGCCACAGCACCCGGGAGGGCACACCTGGAGCATTTTCTATTTTATGGTTTGTTGTGGTTTGTTGCCTAGTATCTTGGGTTGTCTTGCCTTGTGGTTCGTTGACAAAGATAAGCAAGAGAAAAAAACGGACAGAAACGACAAGGACAAGCACTCACTAACACACAACGAAATACACCAAAAACGAAACTTAACGAACAAGCAGCAATCGAAACGCAGAAAAAGGAAAACACAACAGAAGAAAGTGAAACAAACATATCAAAAACGAACAGAAACGGAAAGATAAGAAAGCAAAATGAAAGAACAGAAGAAAGTGCAGCAGATATCAAACTTAAACATGAGAGAAAAAACAAAGCAAACACAAAAACAGAACAAACTAAAGGAACAGAAGGCAGACAAGAGAACCATGAAAATAGGAGTAAAAAACAAACTGCAGAAACAACAGATAAAGGAACAGAGTCTTTGTCCCTCGTCGTCCTTTTTCTTTTGTCCTTTCCTTTCCTTTCCCTTCCCTTCCCTTCCTTTCTTTAAACTGATTCATTGTTTCCTCTCTTGCTAGTCGTGTTTACTGGGCTTCTTCCCTTTCTCTTTGTGTTTTCTTGTTCTTGTTCTTTTCTTTCCATTGTTCCGTGCCTTTTCTGTTCCGATCCGTGTTGGTGAGGGGTTTACCAGGAGAATCACACTTTCAGGTCCCAAGCACAGCTCAAGCAGCCAAGGCACGTGGTGTTGAGCCAGGCCCCGCTGCTCCTGGGGGGACGTTTCAAGTGTTGGGGGGGAGATGAAGGCTTTGCGAGCCGTTTGGTTTAACTAGCTCCAGGATGTAGAGTATGAGGCTTTGGTTGAAGTTCAAATACCGTGAACCCCCCAAAGCCACAAATCCTGATAAGCTTACCTCGCGTAATGGGCCCAGAGGTTCAGTGACTCGGGAGGTTGAGAGGTGAAGGGATTAGGAGACGGGAGGCCCGAGGTTTCACTGGAGCTCACTGGAGCTCTGACCCCCCAAAACTCGTTGCTTTGTAGTACAAATTTCGTATGCGAGATGGGATTCCGGAGCCTCCCGGAGCTCCTGGCCTCAGAAGTCGTTGTTTTGTAGTGCAAATGAAGCATGCGAAATGACTCTCCGAGGCCTCCTGGTGCTCTGAAGCTGGATTCACAGAACGTAAAGTGCTCTTCGAACTCTCGGCGAGCGCTTTCACGTGGCATAATCGTGGGTGCTCGTTGTCGTTGGACTTTTTTTCCCCAAACAGTGCTTGCACAATGGGGTTCTTACGTTCAGAGTAAAGGAATTGGTTGCTGACCGCAACGGCGCGCGCGCGGCGGTGGGACGGGGCCTTGGTTTCGATGCTCCCGCTGTGGTTTCGCGCGAATTCCGTTGCGTTTCGATGCTCCCGCTGTGGTTTCGCGCGAATTCCGTTGCATTTCGATGCTCCCCATGTGGTTTCGCGCGAATTCCGGCCTCTCGTGGCCTCTTCAGGCCTCTTCTGGGGGGGGCCACTTAGGTTGCCGACCGCAACAGCGCGCGCGGTGGGACGGGGCCTTGGTTTCGACGTTCCCGCTGTGGTTTCACGCGAATTACGTTGCGTTTCGATGCTCCCGCGCGAATTCCGTTGCATTTCGATGCTCCTGCTGTGGTTTCGCGCGAATTCCGGCCTCTCGTGGCCTTTTCAGGCCTCTTCTGGGGGGGGCCACTTAGGTTGAACGGTGCGCGCGGTGAGACCACCTGGGAACAGGATCAATAAAAACACAGGGTTTAGGGGGGGTTTAGCCCGCGGCTGGGTGTCGGGGGTTAGTATTATGGGGTAGCGGTTTTGGGGTTGAGCATCATGAGCATCAGCTGGGTCTATTTGGCCCCCAAGTTCCACACGCGTGCAAAGCCGAATCCCCCAGTGGTTGGCCCCCAAAGGGAATTCGGCGCCCCACGAACTTTTGTACTTTTTGTCCCCGGGAGTGTCGGTGCTCTTCTGGCCTTCTTTGGCCTTTTCTGGCCCTCCTCACTGTTTGGGGTCTACGCCGGCATAATGGAGTGCTCTTGCGGTGTACTGGAAGATTGCTCTTGGATGTTCTTTCTCATTCGCCATGGTCTCTCATTGTTTGGGGTCATAAGAAGACGTCATGATCGTGATAGTGAAAAATACAAGCCGAGCAAAATGTGTGAGCTTCTTGTTGACAGGACATACCCCTAAACCCTAAAGCCTAAACTAAATCCTAAAGCCACTAACCCCCAAAACCCCTCACAGGACATGCCCATGAGCGTCAAGGGCGAGATCCAGCGGCAGTCGTTGCAGAAGTGCATGGAGCCCCACATGTTCTCCACGATGATCAATAACAAGCATAAGAATGCAAATAATCCTCATCCTCATAACCGGGATAGTCGCAATCACCATCATAACAGTGCATGTAGTAGAAGCAACGAGAAATAACAACAATAAGAATAATAGTAGCAACAGTAGTGATAAGAGCAGTAGCAGGAAACATAGTTATAGAGAGTAGGAGAATCACAGTAACAACTTCTTGGAACAATCACAACAGTAATGGAGATAGGCAGGGAAGAAGAACTACAGGACCAGATTGAAGATGATCCGAATCATAATCGTAATCGTCTTTAGAAGAATGTCAACAACAATAATGCTACTAAACCCTAAACCCTAAACCCTAAACCTTAAACCCTAAACCCTAAACCCAGTATTCGTAATGTTTAGTCTCATAATGGCAAGGAGCCCACGCTCTCCTGGCTGATGTTGGGCGGGCCTTCCCTAGATGTGGATGCAGCAGCAGCAGCAACCTGGGTCATAGACAACCTGGAGACAAAGGAGCCTTTCTTTGACTCACTTGCGATGGCAAGGGATCAGAAACCTCCGGCCGAACTTGGCCACTTCTATTTTATCATGATGTTTGGTGTGTTCCTGGGTCACCATTCCTTCCTCATCCGGAGAATTCTGGATGACAAGGCTGCCGGGAAGTATCACGCTCTGAACAATTTGTGGGGCACCATGTCCATGCAAGGATTTGCGATGTATGCAGGCTACTTGGACGAGCGAGAATCTCCAACATTCCGCTCGCTTGGGCAGCTGCTTATCCCATGGGTTTTTGGACGACTCTTCAAAGTAGCGAAACCCGGAGTCGATGGCAGCTGCGATTATCCTTGGTTCTTCATGTTCATGTTCTGGGCACGGCTTCTGCACATTGTGACACGTTTTCTGCCTACACGCCGGGCGGTATGGGTGGCACGGCTTGTGCTTGCATGTGCCTTGCACTTTGGGACCGGCATCACGGCTTCCACGAACTTTCTAGATATTGAGGGAGGTGCTCCGCAGCCACTGGCAGTGGCCTTGGTGCCTTACACTCGCCAGGCCGGCTCGCATTTATTTCTCTGGTACTTTGGCTTCGGGGCGCTGCTTGGGTGGACCAAGCCCTTCTTCGTGAACACGGCCCGATGCAAGTGCTACGCAGCATTGCTGCTGGCTGCCGTCATGAAATACTTCAGCAGCATAAACTACGAGTACGAGCACGATCCTTCATCTGGCGCGGGCTACACTGGAGTCACTGCGGATGTGGGCCATTTGGGTCATGACATCTTCGTGGACATCGCGCATTGTTTATTGTCCTTCCTGGCCCTTCTTTGTGTACTCATCCTTGTCCCACGCAAGAAGACGGCCTTTAGCGATGCAGGCGGCAACTCAGCGAGCGCTTATCTACAAGGCCAGAGATCTTTCGCCACAATGTTTTTTGCCAATACATACCTTCTTGTAGATCAGCTGGCTGTCGCTCCTGGCCTCGGTTGGACTGGAGCAGAGTCAGAGGCAAGGTTTGTCTGTGCTGCGATGGCAACATGCTTTATATGCCTCTTCGTAAGTTTGGGAATGGAGCCGTTCCTGCCCTCCTGGCTGCACGGTATCCCTGCAACTGTGATCTATGTGACAGTGCTCTTTGGACAAGCGTACCTCTGCAGCATCCTCTCTGAGCGGCATGGGCGCTGCTGATTGAATGCGTCCGCTCAGCCGGCTTAGATGGTCAAACCCTGCACACAGGCATTTCAGAAATCTTCAGGGTGCGGTCTCTGCATCAAGTCCTGCGAATGCTGAACCGGCATGTTCAGGCTTTTTCGAGGGGTGTGGGCTGCCAAAAATGTTTGGGAAGTCTGTGAAGTGCTTGAGGTGGCCCAACACTTTGCATCAACCCAGAGAAAAGCAACACGGCACAGTTCTTGGTTTCAAGTCTGATGCTGCGACGCTTTCATGATCTGCAGGCCATCTCCCTCAAGCGAAAGGCAGGCGTGCTTTCAACATCATACCGCTCTTTGGTTGCAATTGCCTCTTCTTGGGTTCTCCAGACACCAACCACCAAAGTCCTCCACACAGTGATTGGGGAACCCACCTTTGAATTCGCAAAGCGGGGCTGGCAGAGACAAAGCTTTACATGCTTGTCAAGCAGGGGTAGTGCTCTGTTGTTGTTTGGTGTCAGGTGTCCAACAATCAGAATAAGAAGCTTTTCTGATCTATGAATCTATGCGTTTGAGAGAGATGGCAGCCACGTGCAGTCGCCAAGGCTCGAAGCGAAAGATGCAGATTGACACGGGCATGGCGCAGCGGCCCAAGAAGGAACCCCTTAACATCAGCTTCTCTTTCACGCGGGTTTATCCGGGCCGTGCCCATGTCACAGAGATTCCGCACATCCCAAGCTCTTTCTGCTCGAGACTGTACCCATCGAGATACATAGTCCTCATCCGGCTGCTTACGTTGAGCTTGCGCAGCTGAGCCCTTTCTTCTTCATCTTCTTCTTCTTCTGTAGCCAAGACTTGTTTTCAACAGCGACGCCGCTACTGTTACGAGACATGGGGCCAATCTGTGTGTTCTATTGTATGATGCAGTGATGCACGGCTTCAGGCACAAGGCGCCTATCCGACCCACAGCATCGCAAGGCCACGATTCACCCAGCTTCCTATAAGCTCACGTTGCATGCTCAGGACATCCAGAGAGCCATGGCAGATACGTGCGACTTTCCATCTTTTCTTCAAATCCAGACGGAGGTCATTCATGAGGTCATTGATGTGTTTCCGCTGAAGTCCCAGCTTGGCGAATGGTTGACCAAGTATGTAGTCTGCAGTGTATATGCTTGCCTGATCCTGATCGTCATTTGCCTTTGGTTGTTTGGCTTGCCTGAGAAGGCCCCGCAACACGCAACCGTGCAGAAAAGCTATCCGTACGGTTGTGTGGCGTTCCTCGGGGTTGTGTACACGCTGTCTTTCTTCACGATCGATCAGTATGTGCCAAGCTTCCCGCAGATGGAAAAGGATTTGTCTGGGACCCAAACCCTGATGAGCCTCACGGTGCAGATGAATTTCATTGTCAAGGCAGTCTTTGGGCTGCTGACTGCAGGCCTGTCTGATCGCATCGGCCGCCGACCCATCCTGATCATGAGCATGATCGTCCTGTGCTTCGGAAGCTTGGGGTGCGCATGCTCCCAACGGATTGAGTGGTTCGTGGCCTCAAGGATTCTTCAGGGAATAGGGGAATCCGTGGAACCAGTGCTTTTCGCAGTCGTCCGTGACCATATTGCAGACCCTGACGATCGCTACTCAGTGATTTCAGTGATGCACACGATGTCCATCCTCGGTATGTTGGTGGCCCCCACTTTTGGGGCATGGCTTGCTGGTCTCTTCAACTGGCGCATCTCTTTTTTCGGGCTCGCTGTGACATGGGCCTTCATGGCAGTCTATGCCTGGGCGGCAATCGTGGAAAGCTGCCCAGATATCCCAGATGAGGCAGTCGATGAGCGGGATTACTTCCAAGATTTATCGCGAATTCTCAATTTCCGTGCGCTAAGCTTGCTACTAACACTGAGCTCCCTCACAGGAGCGATCTTGACATTCGAATCGAACACAAGCTATATCACACAGGGGAACTTCGACGTTTCGATGATGGCCTCAGCCCTTGTGATGTTTGCATATGGAGGCTTTCTCATTATGGGTTTGTTGGTGAAGCGGTTCTTCTTTAGCAGCACATCCGTTCTGTTGACCTGCAAGACGTCTTTGACGCTTCTGGCCTGCGCCGGCATCGCTTCGGTCCTGCTAGGATGCTTCTACTCCCAATTTCTCTGGGCTTATCTGGCAGGATCTTTTCTGCAGTCCAGTGTGGTAAACGTAGCCGTGATCGCATTGAATGTTCTGTTCCTCGAGCCGCTTGGAGACTGTGCCGGTGTGGCTGCTTCGTTTCAGACCTTCAGCATGGGAGTGCTCCCCAGCCTTCTTTCGATGGTTTCCACCCAACTGCTGATCAATGGAGGCTTGAAGTTCTTCATAGCCTTCCAGGCCAGTACATGCCTCGCAGCCGGGCTGTTCTTCTGGTTGGGCCATCTGATGAGTACGGAGAGTACATGCAAGTCCTGTGAGTCCTCGGAGTAGATCGTGCTGGCTTGCATCCGTAAGCGATGCATCTTCGTAGCTTTCCGCCATCGCCAATCTTTCTTCGTAGTTCTCACATCTCGTGTCCGCATTTCCAGGCTTTGTCTGTTGCAGAACAGAGCCCCAAGCACAAGCTGACCCAGTTGCATGAACCCGGTTTTTTGCATTCCTTGACATCAGAGCCACAGAACACAAAACCTTTGAACTCTCAGGATTGTTCCTTCGCTGCTGGTGTTCACTCCAGGACTCCCGGGTCATGATGGGCATCAGAGTCTGAAGAAGGTGAAAGCTGAAAGCACCACAGAAACCCACAGAGAAGCCCTGCGGGCAGTCCCGGGCCCTCCGTTCCACAGGGACAAAGCAAGATGCGAGCCTGAGCTATGCCTTGAACCCGAAACCCGAAAGCAACCGGAGCCCTAAGCTAACCAACCCTATAGACCCTTCAGTTTTCATTTCCAGGAGCTGGTCCAAAAATCTGAGCATCTACGGGGCTGTCATCCTGGTCGCGCCTTGGCTTAACACCCCATGACAAAACGCCCAAACTGTCTGGGGGGGCTTGGGAGGTTTCGGCGGTTTTCAGGCTTGAGTCCGGGGTTTAGGGCTTTGGGGGTTTGGGGTTTTGGGTCTTTTTTTTTCACCCCCTCCCCCACCCC